TTGAGAAATACTTACAATATTTTCACCATCATTATGTACAGGTGAATAAACTTGAAGTGCACTTAGAATACCTTTAATAAAATTAACATGATCAACTGTAGCTGATGCATCAGCTTCCATAGCAATAAGAAAACCATCAACCCATCGAAAACGAACAACCATATTTTCCAGTTCTTTTTGAGCTGGTGATGTTACAGGTTTTTCATTTTCATCTTGTGTTTCACTTATTTTAACATTTCGAAGCTATGAAATATATTATATTTAACAAATAGAATGAAATATTTTCAAAAAAAAAAAACAAATTTTTTTCTTTTCTTATACCTGAAGTGCATAATTACAATCACCTAAACTTTTGATGTGTACATCAGCAGTAATTTCATTTTTTAAATCATATTGACCATTAACAACAGATAATTTCACTTCCGTTGTATATTTATAAACTAATGAACCTTGACCGGGTGCAACAAGTTGGGCTATAAATATAAAAAGAAAAGAAAATATTTGTTAAATAAATTCATCTATACGTACCAGACGAACATATCGGATCAGGATTATTGGGAGACAATGGTGCAGTCGAAGCTCGATAAACTAAAATGAAATAAAAAAAAACAAAAATTTTCGATTATTATTTGAAATGAATTATAATCTTACCGAGCAAAACGATTAAACAATAATAGAGATTTAAAGACGCTGCCATTAACAGATCTTTATGTCTCTTGTATTACTTTTTGTTGATACCGATGTGTGTCTTATATTTATTCTAGAATGTTTAAAAAGAGGCAGTTACTGATCAAAACTGACGTTTATATATACGATCGTTTTGTTTATTTTTCTCTTCTTGCCGCCCAATACAGTAACTGATAAGGACTGTAGCAGTTGCGTACAGATGATAATAGTCCAGTAATAAGAAAAAAAAAAAGAAAAGAGAGAAATGTAAATCTAAAGTGTCTCTCTATCATTCCCTCGATATGCACATACATACACAACAGATATAATGTTATCTATCAATAAATCGACATGCACATACGATTTACATTAGAGAATAGCCGCTAATGTTGTTTTCGTGACATATTTAATAGCTGGTCAAATATATGTCTTATTGGAGTTAGCCGGCATAGGCTATATAAAACATAGCAGTGAAATTTAATCTATCTAGACTAGTCCGAACATGTATTGCCTACGTAATCAATGATAGGGTAGACGGTACTAGTGTTCGGTATATTTATTTAGTATGATAGAGAATAAGAAAAATGACATGAATATCTATTTATCAACAAAGCGAACACTACTTGAACAGCATACAAGTTAACTGCTTATCTCAATGAATATATTTTTTGTGATATCTTAAGTATTGACTGAGAGCGGACAACAGTTGTATTCTTATTTCGTCAGTTTTATGATATACATATATATATGTAATATACATATACTGATATCGATTTTGTACACAACGATTGATTGTATATGTAAATAAATGGACAAGTTTATTCTTTTCTTCTTCTTTTTTTGTGAAAGTATTAAAAGACAAATTATTTTGCAATGACGAAATTTTATATTT